TATATGCATATTTTTTAAGTAAAATTGGACGATTCATAAGAACGCACAAGCGTCTTTTTTAAGATTTTTGATTGATTGATTGATCGTGGTTAAATAAAACTGCATTTGTGTGGAAATTTTTTCTTACAAAAACGTACTTACTTATTCGTAACTATAATAAAATAGTTAATTATTATCATGAAACATGACCGTATGAAAGGATCCCTTACTTAATATAAATTTTCTACTTCGAACTTCGATACTACGGATAATATTATTCCAGATCGCAAGTTTGCGTGCTAAAACAACGTTTGTGTCCCTATTTCACGCTCTGGTTTCTATGTATGCATTCCGATGTGTTATCAAATAATTGAAATGCATATTCGTTGTTTTTGGTGAAGAAACGTTTACGTCTTTATATTTTTTTTTTAATTTTGTTATCCATGCTTTTCAATTTCAATAAATGTAGACTTATTACAAAGTCTTTTTTAATTTATTAACATCATTTGATGACCATAAGTAAATCATGAATTGTTGAATTTCACGGTACCATATCATAACTATTTAGTACCATATCGTAGATAAGGTATAGTGACTATATAGTTATGGGAATGTCAACATGTAAACATGTCAAAACAGAGGAAGTCTAAATCTTTCCTAATATTATAAAGAGTAAAGCTTGTTTGTTCATTCGTTTGGTTCTAAGAAAACGATTAGATATTTTCACTGATCGAAGCTACGTTATCGCTCAGTAATAAAAGGTATTAATAAAATGGAAAATAGATATAGAAATTTTTGATGAATTGAATGAATTGAAACATGGGTGAATTTAAAGACAGCGCGATAAAATCTGTAAAAACAATATAATTTCATTATGTACGGTGTTTGCATAAATATAAGACATTATGAACAATTAAATTTAGTTAAAGAATTAATATTAGTTCTAATTACATTTGTGTCTATATTTTAAAATTTTAAGACGCCTATTTGTGATTGTAAAAAAATTTGTAAAATTTATAAAATTATAAAATTTTTAAAATGTATTAAGGAAACTAAGATTTACCTATTTATATATTCACGAACAAATTAACACGGGTTCAATTGTTTTATCACGTTCAACGTGTGATTGCGCCATTCCTGCTACAGCGTAGTCGTTGGCGCCAGGGTCGAAGTAACACGCCACGTAGCGCTCGCTGATAATTTAATTTGCGTAGCAGCTACGCGCTTTATGGCCCGGAAAGATATTCTGGCGACGTAGCCCCGTAGCGCGGCCCACATCCGCTAATGCCACGAAAAACGCTCGGGAAGCGTATAAACCGCGGAAAGTGGGCCATCTACGTAAATGCCATTAATTGTTCTAGAAGTCACCCTAAGGGATTATGACCTGCTAATGACGGTTAAGAATGTTGTTGTCAGTAAGAAATATTGCACTGGAATTATTAAAAGCAATGAATTCACAATTTAATTTAAATTCATTAATTCTAAACTAATCTATATTTATTCGTTTTTTAATTCACGCGAACATATTCAGCAAATTCTTAAAAAAAAACTACATCTTTTGTACTTTTACTTTTACTTTTTAAACTATTGTTTAACTGATTATTGGCGCAGTTAACCCGGGTTGCTGTCTGAGTTTTATTTATTTATTTTAGATGATAATTAGACATAATATACAAGTACTAGACAGTAATATATAAATAAAAATATCCGGATTCAAGCACTTATACCATTATCTTAGGCTGGTTAATTAGTCCTTTCAAATCGTTTTAAGTTTTTACTAATCATACATAAAACTTCTACCACAAATAAAATGTAATTAAACAGTATCTACACCGTATGTCACATAAACATTTGTGCGTATCTTTAACATTATTATCATTGCACTATTACATAAAATAATTTTACTTAATCAAAATGTATTTAGAGCTCCAATAAATATATGCTTGGCTTAGCAGTGAAGGGTACTGGTTCCTTTCTTATATCATTATTATCATCTGCTACCATTGTACATTAGATATATATATTCACAATGAAGAACATTAAACAATAATGAGTACATTAAAATTTACACCGTTCAATTTACTTTAATGTTGGTCATCTTCTTTACAAAATAATAATCCGTAGAAAATTGACTCTATTGTAAAAAAAGTAGCGGAGCATATATTGAACCAGGTAAATTGTTTACAAATTACCAGATAAGGCTACTTTTGAATATATAGGATATATCTGACATAAATATATCATATATACTCCGTTCAGCACTTGAAGTATTGGAACTCTTTCGGTCGACTTACATAACGTTCAACGACTTATACCAAAAAAAACCTAATTGAGCGTTCAAGAATAATCTAAACTGGCCGTGTTGCTGACAAGCAATAAATTCGATCGCGAGATTTATTTCACTCCTTCCAAAAGGAGCAGTAATGTCGGAAATAGATTAGAGGGCCCCCATAAAAATATTGTATTAGGATTGGCCAACTTTATTACACGGGCCGAAATGAAACCGTCGCCCTTTCTAACGACCCCGGGAACAAGCTTATTTGACTGTAAAATTATATTGTTTTTATCGCAACGATATCAGGCTTCTTAAGTCTTATTTGAAATAACCACCGAAAATTTAGCTTTACCTTTGTGAGGGAAATAAAATATCAATTGGTATTGTGTTACCGATGATATATTTGGCGTTACGAAAACTTTGTACATTTAATGCAATGCAAATATTCATTGAATTTCAAATATTTTTCGCTTACATTTTACTATTAGCTCATAAGTATAAGCGAAAATTTTCTCCTTCTATTTTGTTATAATCATTAAATTAGTCTACATTATAATGGGTACAAATGGTTTCTTATTTCTATTGGATCTTATATGTATACGTAATACTAATGACATTTCTTTTAACCAGCATCAATGATCCAACCTTTTCATTCTTTCATTGAACTCACTTATAGTAAATCGTAATAAATAGTTAAGAGTTGCAGCTATTCGCTACTCCGGAACGGCCAATTATTCTATTAGCCTACTTATTCCCGCAAGTTCCAATCGTGATCTCTCATATCAATTCACTATTAAAATCTTTCGATTCTAAGCCCTGAAAAATCACTGTCGTTCAATTATTTCTTGAATACAATGACAATGATAAAATTTACTTTACGATAGAGATTAAACTTACCCTTACTAGTAAACTCAGATCGCTGTGAATGTAATAATGTAGAGTTAATTTGGATGTATTCAAATGTGCTCTACTAAGAATTTATAATGTCTTACGTTTAACAGAATTAAAAACAGTGAACTATTTTTCATTTATTCCAACAGAAAAAATTAAAAGGCCTACCTACACAAGGTAAGCGTAATATATTTCAAAATTTCTTTTGTTTCCACTAAAAACGGGCTAAGGCTTGACTTTAAATTACCTGATGGTAAGTAAAATGTTATCTTAGATATGTAAACACATTAACTATTTATTTAATTGACAGTTTTTTTAACAGCTATTATCAAAAATTTTAACTATCAAAAGGTTGTCAACGCATCTGTGAGTCTCGGGTGTAGGAGATGTCCTTGGGCGGCGGTATTCACTTAACATCATGTGAACCGTCTGATCGTTTGGCTTAACTTCAACTAACACTTTTCACATTAAAAAAAATACACAGAAATTTACTCTATTTTTTATCTACTTTGATTTGTCATGGGTGTACAGTTTTTCACTGAGATATATACAAGGCATGATGTACCTTGATCCCTCCGTATAAATAAATATATTCTCTGATATACAGAAGCCTCTTCCGCTCGCTAAGCTATTCGCCGCATACACGGAATGCGGCTGTACGGCAATTACAGCTGTTTTGAAACCCGTGACACCTCGGGGTTGTTCGTACGGAGTCCCTGGAAGTGGGTTACAAGGCGGTGCATGTATGCAGGCTATCGGGTCGCGACAGAGGTTACGACCCTATTGATTGGTAGCTCGCGCAGACGCCCTACATAGCGACACTTACCATCCGCCTTATCCAATGCTCGCCCGACGTATAACTTGACGTTGAGCATTCAAACAAATTGCGCTATGTATTACTACAGTCACAAGTACAAGTACATTAAAAGAAGATAACAACAATAAAATACGTAGTGAAAGGGAGAATTCAAAACAAACGTAAATCAATAAATGAAAAAGAACAACTCTTCTCCATTAAAACTAATTCTTTATTTCTTTTTCGCGGTCTTTTTATTCTCACACTAATGTCGACTGAGCGGAATCTAAGGCGAAACGTCGCTCTAGCCACTAATCTAAGTGGTTGTTTTTTAATTTTGTAGTATCTACGCTTAAAAATTTCATTTCATAACCAAAGTCGATACCTAAAGTTTGCGGTGGGTCAAATCAAGGCAGTGGCGAAAAATTTTGTGACCGTCTTATATACACATTTTGATGACTCCGTGACGCAGTTGCCAAGATATTGGCTTCGGCGTCGGGAGTCGTGGGTTCGAACCCCACACGGGACAACTATTTGTGTGACCCACAAATAGTTGTTTCGCAACTGGGTGTTTGTCCGCGTAAAATTTATGTTTGTAAAACGTCCTTACAACACAGGATAATGTTATCCTAAAAGAAGGGCAATGTTTTTAAAAAAAGAGAAAGAAGAGAAGAGAAGAGAATTTTTAAACACACAACCAGTCTATGCTCAAAACCAGAAGTCGTATTCATTTATTTATTTGATTTGGCGTTATTTTCCTTGGTCCAGTTCAGGTATTCTGGGGAAGATGCTAATCGGTGACAGACTTCGCGATAGGATTCAAGGGTTGAGGAGGGTATTTGTATGGCTTACAGATATTTTCTCCTTTTATCGCGACACAGAACAACCTCTTGTATACAATGGCACGCGGTGAATGATTTTTAAAAGGGAATACGCAATGTTATTTGAAATAGTATAACTGCTTTAAGCATTGAACACTAACAAACGTAAGCTGACTCATGCATTAAAACTAATAATACAAACATTTAATTCTGTCTAGATGTACCGATTTCATGTTATATGCGAAAGGTCAGCTTATTGTCACACTACTATAATAATTGGGAGAATACATTGAATTTATTGTATAATATACACCACATAACCTGGTAATATATCACAACTGTTTGGGCCAACCATCGCGCCCGGAATGGGTCATCGATTCATCATCGCGTAATCTCAATACATTTACGCTATTAATCAAAATGCATAACATACATTGGACAGCGTACATGACAAACGCACGACTGCGCCGCATTCATAGTGAAACCAATTCTGGTTGGGATATTCTTTATGCATATATAACAGTTACGATGATTGTAAAGAAGTTACGATGTATTCCTTCGAATGTCAGTTTCAAAGTTATTTTCATTTCTCTTATTATTTATCGAATGCATTCATTGTAAAATAAGCATTACAGTGACTAATAAATAATGTTAGTGATTATTTAAATGATAACACACCCTGAAAATGAAATGATCGCTTCAGGCTCTTTCAAGTTGACTTTAATACATTTGTAAACATTTCTTTATATGATAAGCAATGTTTATGAAATTGTAAAAAAAAAAAAGAAATTCCCGCTGAGTTTCTTTCGCCGGTTCTTCTCAGGTCAGTGGCTTTTTTTCCGAACCGGTGGTACCGTTTTGACAATCAATAATAAAGTGTAAAGCTTCTATATTGAATAAAGGTATTGTGAATTTTATTTTGATAACTTCTTGAGTATTTTAAAGTTCTTTGTAATAATATCACATTTTGTTTTAACATCTACTCTGCAGCTAAACTTTAAATTTTCATTGCGGTAGCGGTAATATTGAATAGCTTAAAATATCAGTACTTTCTATATTATTCATCATTTAGTATATCTTTTACTATCTATACCGTGATTCGCCTTGCTTGTATAATAGCATTTGCATTGCAAACCTTTATTGTTTCTTCAATTGTTATACATATTTTGTTTGCAAAACAGAATTTTTTAATTTCATAACCGATATAACATAAAATAAATAATTATCCAGAGATTAAATCACACTATCATCAATATTATAACAAAAGCTGTAAATTTTTCCAATTTTAACAGATTTGATTGCAACCATTTCATACACACTGGTATAAAAATACAATTGGAGAACTAAATCAAAATAATGCTTCGTTTTATGGACGCTGTGGAAGCAAATTGGCAACAGTTTCATTTTGATGAACTTTGTTTTTAATACATATTTCATATTTTCATTATATTTATTAATAAGTAATAGGAATTGTCTCAAATCAATCGTTATGTCCTTTTACAGCATCTATAAGCAGATACGATCGTAAATAATAATTCGATTACAACTCGCTATAAATATAAAAACATTTAACGCCATTTAGTTGTTTACGTTACCTAACCCAGGAGCCATCGACATAACTCTTGTATCATGTCGAACCAGGGAATGAAGCCACGAAAAAAGCTTATATAGTATTCGCGGTTTGTTTTGTTCCATAGTTGAATCGGCGTGGTCTCTAATAATGTTGTTAGCTTTTCCGTAGCGTATATTCCGGGTCACGTCCGCTCCAGTGCGGGCCCAATTACCCGCATAACCGTTCGAATGCGTGTTTTAAATGTCGAACGAACGTACTTTTAACGAGTGCTCACTTCGCTCGTCCGAAGGGAAATTGCTACGACGTGACTTTCACTTAGCTACCTATTACATACGTAAATAAATGTAAACATTCACGTGTAGTGCTAAATGAACTGTTTTTTATTGTTAGTTTTTTTAATATCAAATAACAGCATCATTTTTAGCATGCAGATTTTTTTTAAAGTCAGAAGGTGGTGGTTTACATGACGTTAAGTGTTAACCGCCGCGTCGGACATTTGCCACTCCCGTTTAGTTGCAATTTGCTACGGGTTACCGCTCTCAAAAACAGCCAAGTAGGCGAAGCTGCGGTTTGGAGCTGGTATAAAGAAGGTGTAAAGTGTGCGTGTTTGGCCACAGGTATCATGGATCAGACATCGGGACCTGCACATACTGACGGCGGGCGGCTACACGTACACGTCGGACCAGCGCTTCCAGGCGACCCACTCCCCTCAGACGGACGACTGGACGCTGCACATCAAGTGGGCCCAGCAGAGGGACGCCGGCGTCTACGAGTGCCAAGTCTCCACTCAGCCAGTCCGCTCCTTCTTCGTCACATTGCACGTTGTCGGTAAGATCATACAGAACCTCATTAACGAGTGATTCATTACATTAGTGCTTCTCAGAACCGAGACAATTCTTGGTGCGAGTTTCGGATCATTATTCAAATATTTTTTTGTTGTAATATATTTGCATCCTAGTGGATATGTTATTGAACGTCCTTATGATAGGTTAAACTACTTTTTGAGTCGGTTACAATTTAATCCTTATCCTATAGTACAATTAGGATTAAATTATAAACTCAATAGGCACTGTGCAATTATAGGTAGAACTTTCTATAGGACCTTCTGCCGCTTGCTTCGAACAATATTTACTTTTGAGACACGAATAACGACTTTGTTAAAAAGTATCGATATGTCAGTCACTAGATGGTACTGGGCATACTCATGTACAACTTGGGCACTCACAACATCATGATGAACAGATGTGTATGCGTGGTGCCATCCACTGAGAGTGTAGGCCTCCAGTAACCTCAATGGCCAGAAGAAACGCAAAAAAAAAAAAAAAGATCTTTCATTTCGCTTGAATTTTGTGTATATATACACGAAATACTATTATAGAAAAGTAGTTTTAAATGTAAGTTTAATAGATACTTAAAATTCACAAAGTTATATGTGAAATCGCCTGTTGTGTAGAACGAGGACAGGATAAATAATTGAAAGACATTTAATATCATCATTAATATCATCACGACGTATTCGTTTTTATTAAAGAAAAAAAACAGATAAATCAATACGTGATTAACAAATGTGATATGATAACAGATTTGTTTTAAAATTATTTGATCATAGGATAACTCAAAATTGCCTACTCATATCAAAAGAGTTGTCCAAGTCCTATACTTAAAATGTTTGGTAAGTGTATTGAATAAAGTTTATCCCTTCTGCAGATTGTGACGAGATATATCAGAGGATGTTTTCCGACGCAGGTGTGTGCGTGTGTCTTTTTGATAACAATGTGTGTTTTCCTCTAGAGTTGATTAACCAATTCTGTACCTTACTGAATAATCATATTATAATCTTAAGTGTTAGTGTGCTGCGTTTTTTTATTTTTTTAGAAAAGATTATTAACACACATAAAATCACATACTTTTCAAAATATAAAAGCAATATACATTGTAGAAACCTCTACTTAGAGTATATATATGGTAAAATTCAATTTGTGATAATTTGTATGCATCTTAATTAAATCATCTCATAAATGGTGGGACAGAAACCTTATTACAAAATATAAAAGTAATTTTTATTATTCATGGGTAATTAATTTGTTTACCGCAAACCTTTGAAATGTTTTCAAAATTTAATTATCATCGTATAGCTTTTGCAATCATCAACCACCCGCGGTTCATTAGATGTTGAGTGATTACCGCAGCCCGTGAACAGTTAAAATGCCATGGGGGTAATAGATGCGTTGTCAACCTTCAAAATAGTGGGCCAATACCGCGAAACACGAGAGTACAATACTTCCGCTTCACGCTTGTCCTCTGTGAGGTCGCGGTATCATCGAAAGCCTGCCCATTCGTGCAACAACGGCCACTGGCCCCAGCCGGCGTTTGCCACACAGCTCGTTCGACGACGGATCCGTTTCCGTTGCAGTGCCGTCAGCCCGCATCTTGGGCGGGCCCGACCTGCATGTGGACATCGGCTCCACTATCAACCTCACCTGCGTGATCCAGTTCAGCCCAGAGCCGCCAGCGTACATATTCTGGTACCACGAGGACGAGGTGAGCGGACGCAAAGTAATTATTCAAAACTTCTATTATCATTAATAGTCTTAAGTTTAGCCGTAAGACGACTCGGTGCCGCCGTTGCCAAGCTACTGGCTTCGGCGTCGGGGGTCGTGGGTTCGAATCCCACGCGGGACATGTGTTTGTGTGATCCACAGATAATTGTTCGTGATCCGGATTGTTTATTTCCCAAGGAGGTGTAACGTGTGATTTCATCACTTTGTCTAAATTGTCGTTTTTCTAAAGACTAGGATTTAGATTAGACTTTTGATTCGACCTTTCGAAAAGGCAAAGGTTCATATCACATGCAGCCTAGTCTTTAGAAAAACGACAATTTAGACAAAGTGATGAAATCACACGTTACAGAGGGTTGACGTCAGGTGGGCGGGCGGTGGTAATAAATCTACATTCAGAGAAAATTCGTCCATTTTTTTCCACATATTTCATTGTTCCATATTAAATGCAGAGTCACTATAAAAGTTAATGGTTTATTATTGTTGAGAGAAATGTGCTCTAATATGGACACAGGCATGAGTTAATTTGGTGCAGTGATTATTGTTTCTGCTTAGGCTCAACAGTAGTAGCCTAGTGGCTGGTGAAGTCTAGTCACGACTGTGATTTCTTATTCGTATGGCTTATAACAAAGAGACGTGGTGGTTAAAGCATCTGGACCTGAATCCGGAAGACATGGGCTCGATACCCACAGCGGCGAATATCTTTTTGTTTGTTTGGTTTCCGTACCCAAAGGGTAACTATTAAAACGGGACCCTATTACTAAGACTCCGCTATCTGTCTCTCTGTTTATCTATGTGATTGTGAGACAGTTGAATTTTTATCAAATGATGTATTTCTGTCGTTGCTACTCGTATAACAACAAATAACTAAAAAACAGAACAAAAAAATATCCCACACAAAGTACATGATTTTATAGTTAATGGTAAGGAACGCTTCGTCCGACTCGCGCAGTTTTTTTCACAATTTAAGATCTGTTATGATTTTCTCGTGCACGAGTGTTGACTTGGTCCTACTACTGTACAGTGGAGTTCTTTGACCGGCAGTTTCTTTTTTTTTATACGTGTAACTGGTATGAGTTAAGCTCTCAAGTCGACAGCGGTGTGGCCAAATATTTGTGTGAATGTTTGTCGGTCTGCGCGAAGCAGGTGATATCGTACGACTCGACACGCGGCGGCGTCTCGGTGGTGACCGAGAAGGGGGCGGCGACCACCTCCTACCTGCTGCTGCAGGACGCGACGGCCGAGGACTCCGGCCGCTACTCGTGCTCGCCGTCCAACGCGGAGGTGGCCTCCGTGAGGGTGCACGTGCTGAACGGTGAGCATACTGCTTGCAAAGGAACGTGACTATTGACAGGGGCCAAGCACACTGGTCGTGACGGAACGTGCGCTGGACGGTGAGCATACTGCTTGCAAAGGAACGTGACTATTGACAAGGGCCAAGCATACTGGTAGTGGCGGAACGTGCGGTGAACTATGAGCATACTGAATGCAAAGGAGACTATTAACGGTGACTCAGTATACTGTTCGCGGCGGAGCGTGACCTTTAGTCACCCTTGGCAGTATCGATGATAGTAGAAACCTAACGAAACCTATTGATAATCATGTAGACTTTTGGCTGATTTTGCTGATACTTTATTAAATTCTATTATAGAGGACCAGCGGCTGGCTCCGATGCCATCAAGGTGCAATCAGCATAAGCTCAAACAGAATGAAATATAATATTGATCACTATTAGTTGTTTTAAATTTTAAAGTTTTTTATAGTGCTTATCTCTGCACTTAAGATTGAACATTAAAACATGTAGAAAAAGTACGAAAAGATTGTCGCCGCTGTGGGAATCGAACCCACGTCTTCGGCATTCGCGGCCTGACGCTCTAGCCACTGAGCTAAACGGCTGGTAGCCACAGCGACGAAAATCTTAACGCCTTCCTTCTACATTGTTATTTAGCATTTGAAGCAATGCCTGGCGCATCTATTGTTATATCCTTTCCAGCATACAAACAATTTCGAATATCGTTTTACAACGATAATTCGAACGAGAGATGTCGCCATTGCTTTTTATAAATTTTAAAGTTTTTTATAGTGCTTATCTCTGCACTTAAGATTGAACATTAAAACATGTAGAAAAAGTACGAAAAGATTGTCGCCGCTGTGGGAATCGAACCCACGTCTTCGGCATTCGCGGCCTACCAGCCGTTTAGCTCAGTGGCTAGAGCGTCAGGCCGCGAATGCCGAAGACGTGGGTTCGATTCCCACAGCGGCGACAATCTTTTCTTACTTTTTCTACATGTTTTAACACTATTAGTTGTCTTTTGTAGATAGACACATGCTTTCGCAGACTTTATTTTAGAACTTTTCGAAAAAAATAATTCTTCCTTTGTTTTCGCGAAACTTTTACGACGAAAGGCAAGACTTGGAAATTGTCAAGAGACATGACTTACATACGACAGCATGTAATATATATGTATGTATGTACATACATTTATAATAATTAGTCTATGTCCACCAAGTGTGACGAACATTGCAAAATATGAAAGAATTTTTCAAGTATATGATGATTTCATATTGTTCATTATAGTTTTCGGCTTTCTTATTTCTTATATAAAGTATTTTTTAAATACCGATGTAGAAAATTATGCATTTGTAGGATTTTTAAAGAAACTTTCTATGTATTCCTGATCAGCTTGGTTTACAAAACGCAATAAATCAGAGAAATTTATGACCGTCGCTATCACTACGACCGGGTCAACATGGATAACTAACAATCATATCGATATTTCCCATCAACCTTTGCACTTATTTAACGTGATAAGGTAGCGAGTGAGTTGGCGGTTCACACGATGCTAAGTGATAACAGCCATCCAGGGACATTTGCAACACCAGTACGGTTTCAGATGCGTTGCCACCTTTTAATAAAGTGGGCTCCGTACAGTACAACAGTTCCACTTCACATCGGTCTTCTGCAAGGTCGTGGTACTTCCCCGGACCTGCCCCACATACCTACCACAGCTCTGATCCGTTACATGCCACTAGTAGAGTTTCAGTGACGTTTGTTCCTCAGGTGAGCGGCCAGCGGCGATGCAGACGGGCTCTGCTGGCCTCTCGAACAGCTCCAAGTGCATCGTGGCGCTACTCGCTGCCGGCGTGCTGAGGGCGCGGCTGTTACGCGCCCAACTCACCAGCTGATCTAGCTTTAACTGAACAAGAAAACTTAGTTTTCCCTATCATAAGTAATGGAATAACTCCTAGATTTCACGGTAGCCGTAAGATTTTTATGAAGCGGTCGGACGGGCGTGACGGTCTTGTACTCGACTTACCGACCAACATGGTGCGGACTGGAGATTTCTATTCGTGGTTTACGGGAGCATCTCGATTTGCAAATGGAAAATTTATTTTGGTTTCTAATTTGCTGACGCAGTACAGGTGCGTGGCGTTTTTAAAATGCTAATTAAATTTGTTGATTGTGTAATTATAATATAATTATACGCTTATCTGGTAAGCTATTTCAATTTGATTTATTTAAGTCTTATACACAATAGCAACCAAGCTCGACCTCATTGACTGGCAATACGAGATATGAAACAAATCGGTGACTCGCAATCTATTTTAAAAAAATTCTCAACCCATTCGTTAATCCATCAGGTAACTGTAAATATATTTATGTAAGAGGGGAATAATGCAATTGAAATAAAACAATGGTAATTTTAAGAAATTATAATGGTTAAAAATGGTATACCTTTAAAAGAATTTTTTTGGTAAATTTTTGTCATGTACTTACTACGTTTATACCTCAGAGTATAAAAAGTTTAAAAAAACGTGGTCTTTAATATTTTTAGTTCTGGAGTCTATGTTGTAAAATAAATAATTTTATTTATTTACCTAATTATAAAAAGTGAAATATAAAAGTAATTTTGCATCATTAGCTATCCTTATTAAGTTTAGACCTAAATATTTTTTTCATGTATCCTGTTAATAAGGTAACCTTAATAAATATAGTCATAGGCAAACGTTGACGGTATCTAAACTTACAATAAAATTTTGTACATAATAATTGTATATTCAAAATCTATTTACAATAAAAGGTGTTGAAAAAATTCATTAGTAGAATAAAACGCTCTTCAAATAAATGTAACTAAAATACGGCCACAATAAATTTATTCCAATTTACTGTTTTATTTTTTAAATTGCGCATGCCAAATGAGATTTAACATCATATTGGATTACAAGCATTTAACAATTAAACGATTGTTATTTATGAAAACTCATTTGTAAAATAAAACGCCTAGGATTATTTACCGGTTAAAACCGGTTTCTTCAAATGTTTTCATCAAAAACTTAAACAGATTTTAACCTTAATATGAAAGAAAACTTTTAAAGTTGATAAGCTTAGATTTAATTACGGTGTTTGTAATTTCACACATCGTAAGAGGTGATAGGAATGAAGTTTAACCATTTCAAGCAAAGCTGTACTTACTATTGACTTAAACTCGAGAAATGGCTTTAAAATTTTCACAAATCCTGTACCTATTGACTAAGTTCTTACGTAAAATAAAGCAGCAAGAAAATATTTACCTATTAATCCATACAAATTCGTTAATAAAAAATCTTTGTTTCATCTTCAAGTAGCTAAAGTTTACAATTGATAAAAATTTCTATAAGTGGAGAAGAAAATATTTGAAAAGTGGTAGTTTCTGTGGTGTGGCTGTTTTAATATAATTTTAAATAATTCATAAGATAGGACTTGTATAAAAGTTGTCACTTAAAACGAGTGGTGTTTACTAACGCTTAAAAGGATATACTGACTGTAACTTGTTTATCCTTCACTCGTTGTTTTCTATGAAATATCGAAAACATAGAATAATCTATCATCAATTTTCCATCACCCTTTAACTATTTGTCAAATAGTAAGCTATTCAAATGTCCTCTTCAATCTTAATAAACATTACGTAACATCATAATCTTACTTTGTAATGTTCAATGTCGTAATTCGTTAATATCAGTCACCTATTCATACATTCACACTACTTCACATATCCTTCCTTGCATTCTGCTTCGTGAAGTTTTTCTACGTAATTATAACAATTTTTGTGACCAATACAAGGTATTGATTTTTTGTGGAGCATTCTGTGGTTCTGCTTTACATTTATTTTTGGCCTTTATTTTTAACATAAATGAATGAAATTTCATAAATTGTGACAACGTGAAAGATATTTAAATTAATCAAGTTAAGGAACAACTAAGGATATTGAATGTGTGTTGTCGGTACGGCTCTAAGGGTATATGATAAATTTATTATTTTAGCTTAGCCATGAACTAAATGTTACATAAATTATGTATTTGTACTCATATCCTAATACCAATATCAATAATTGCCATAGTTGTTCATTGTTTGTTGAATATTGTTTGTTATAGTGAATTCCATTCAGTTGAGAGATTCATTGCATTCTAAACACATGACCCGTACCGGCAGCTAGACAATTGTAAATTATTGCTAATGTTCACAGAAGAACGTTTTTGTATAGAATAATTACTTTGTAAATATAAATAGAGAAAGTTTACAATAAAATCGAAATAAGTAGACACATGAAGTGTATAATACTGAAATTGTATTTAAGATATACGATATATGACATGGAGCGGCTAAGTTTGTTTTCAAATAAAATATTTAATATTTAAGCGCACTGTCATTTCATTTCCTTGTTTAGTTCAGATCGATTTTGTTTTTGATGATTACTGAGTTGTTCAATATTATTATATCAATTCTATAAATAACAGTGAGCTGAAGTTGAGAAAATATTCAGATAAAACAATTTTCTTTGATTGATTTGCTGAATTGAAGTAACACGTTCTCAAAGAAGACCAGCGAGAAGTGCAAGTGTTATACGTTCGCGTTTTGTCTGGTAAGTCGGGTAACCGGGACACAAATTTCTCAAAGCTTATCAACGCATCTGAAAGCCCTCAGATGTTGAACATGTCCATGGGTGACGGTATTCACTTGATAACAGATAATCCTGCTAGCTTGACATCTTTTTGCATAAACATAGTCACGCAGCATTTTTTGGATCTCTTGCAACGATTCCATCATTACATCGATCTCATGGACAACATCTAAGCATTTTTAATGTAATATTAAAATATTTCTAAATTCACTATTACCTTTTTGCCGTGCAAATTACGTCAGATATTTGGTTTCGTCAGTACTACAAGTCTTAGCATTCTGATATGTATAAACTGTAAAGTTTTGCATATAATAACACCGGTTGAGAAACTATAGGTATAAAAAACAGCTTTTCTACACCAGTAATCCAGTTCAACCCAATGACGTTCAATAGTATAGATGACGCGTGTCCATACTGTGCGGCGTATACAAAATTGTTCCGCTTTACATTATATGATATATAAGGGAATGTGACAGATTATATAGAACATTTGATACGGAAGGACATAAAAGTCAATAGAATTGAAATCTAATTACACCAATTGGTGTAATTTGAGTCCCTCCTTTTCAGTGCGCTAGTGTCATTTTATCTACCTCGTATTTGTAAATAATATTATCATTGGCTCAACCAGTGAAAAAATACGTCCTCACAGGACAAAAAGTTACGGACCTGTAACCTATAATTTTGCGTTTCATTCGGTGATTGGGTCAGGTTACCTACCCGAGACACTAAGTTCTATATAGCTATTGAGACGCCCTCTAACACTATGACCATCAGTTGAGCAGAAAAATCAGTAACATCTATTTGAAATTGAAATTAAAGGAAATTTATGCTTCTTACGTAGTACTTACTAAAATTTATTCGTTTTAGTCATTGATAATATTTGCCTGACCACAGATGAACACCAAAGATTAAACAGAAATTTACTTGATTTAAATTACCTTGCTAGCTTTCTATGAAACATATTGACCACTAGACTCTCGAGTCGCGGAAAATTTTGCGCATAGTACATAATTAATGTGACAAATGTCCGACCATTACCGGCGCCTGGCGGATATGAACCAATGTTTACGCCCGACATGGCCTGTTAATTTGTCAGCCAGCGAACTCGTTTGGAATTATAGCAATTTGGCATGCGTTTTACAGCTGCTATTTACTAACTTGCGCGCTCGGCGAAACTTGAATGTGTGTTTGATTTTTAAGGCCAACATTAAAACCGCTCAGTTATTGCGTAATTATTAATAGAATAGTAATAGGCCGGGATCGTACAGGAGGGTCATCATAACCCGTAACGCCCCTCATGTATATAAAACCCCTCCTTCGAACTCAATAAACCATTGTAAAGATTAAAATACACCTATCTTATGCAACAAATGAAGGAATCGACGGACTTTGTACCAAGGAATTAAATCTTATCCCTTGAAAGCAAAAATCTATTCTCATCTTTATCCATGAAATTTACAAAAACAAAACTTTTTATCCGCTTCCAGTAAATAGTTTTGTTTTTTTTAGCCGGGAGTTGGAAATGTTTATACAAATCATAAGACCTTCATTTGATTCTGTTATACTATAGGCCATTTTTATCTACTTTTGTAGATGTTTTATGGTTTAATGTTTAGGTAACTAAAGAAGCTTGATACAAAACTCCTTTTCTTGTTGCATTGCTGCAGCAATGGAATAAAATCTTAATGTCTCGTTAAATTCTGAAACTATAAGTAACACTTCCTGAAAACAAGAAATCTTTATTGTTGTTACTTAATATTTGGTTTATTGTGATGTTGTGCAAATTACACTAAAACTCTAATATTTACTAAAGACAAAAAGGATGAAATTTAAATTGTTTATAGTGCTAATCTTTGCACTTAAGATTGAACATTAAAATATGTAGAAAAAGTGCGAAGATGCTGGAAAGGATATAACAATAGATGGCGCCAAGCATTGCTTCAAATGCTAAGAAAACAATGTAGAAGAATGCGTTAAAATTTTCGTCGGTGTGTTCTAAAAAAAGCAATGGCGACATCTCTCGTTCGAATTAACGTTGTAAAACGATATTCGAAGTTGTTTGTATGCTGGAAAGGATATAACAATAGATGGCGCCAAGCATTGCTTCAAATGCTAAGAAAACAATGTAGAAGAATGCGTTAAAATTTTCGTCGGTGTGGTAATCAGCCGTTTAGCTCAGTGGCTACAGCGTCAGGCCGCGAATGCCGAAGACGTGGGTTCGATTCCCACAGCGGCGACAAT